AATTATTATTTACCGGACTCAGCCCTGACCGCAACATACGTACAGTACATTACTCGTAATTAAATTTACTTACGCATCATATATGCCGGATCAGGATTGAGATCGGTAAATAAACTTGAAAGCTCAAAGGCTGGTTTTCTCCTCGCGTAATTCATATTGCTAATAACATGAACTACGTAATCTTTTGGATCCGAAATTCTCTTGTCAGAATGAATGTTTGAAGTAGGAACCTTATCGATTTAAATGAAAAGAAATATAGTTATATAAAAATACGAAATGAGAAAAGTCATAAAATCGTCGACAATTTCAGTATCAATAGTACTACTGTAACATGCTTTATGAAAACGTTTGATTTAAAACAACCCTCATGATAAAAGATTTTTCATTCTTTGATATATTAAAAATGATGTGAAGGATGATAGAATTTTATTAATCAAATAAGCATCATCCGATTTCTTCTTTTAGAACGATATGAAAGAATTCAATTTAGACTACATGATTAACGGAATCCTTAAAATGTCTATTCTTCAATTTTTTCCCTTTGGAGTCCACCCTCTTATCGATTTTATTGACAAATCCTATCTACTAAATTTGAGTGAAAAGAGAAGGTTGGTTAAGAGTTGATACGTCAAGTACGAATGATAAGTTAATATCAAATATCATTTTAAATTTTGGAAAGATGAACAAAGCTGTAAAACGTCGTCGAAAATCAGAGAAAACATTAGGAGTGAGGAATGAGGAGACAGATGCTGGTGAATCTACGAATATTCAAACATCAATATTGTCAGATTTAATGAGTGATGCTGACACTAGCAATTCAGAAACAAAGAAAAAAACCCATAAATCTGGTAATTGTTTCGAATTCTTTAACAAAAAAGTCATCAAAAACTATAATTTTCTAATTCTTATCTAAATAGCATGGACCACAAATCAAAGAACTCAATTATTCGAAGCAATTATCAAAAGACTGCCTACACCGTTGGACTGGAAAGAAATTTCTGAAGATGTTGACGGAAAATCTTCTACACAATGTTATGATCAATGGCGTAAAAGAATGTTATCAGATTTAAAGAAGTCTGTTGTTTCTGAGTGAAACAGAGATATGAAATTGTATTTTTTAATTCATTTTATAACCATATCCGCGGTGAAGAATCAATCATATGATCAAGTTTTTACAATTTATTGAGAAAAATAATAAAGATCGAAATTTTATAATTTTATCATTACGAATTTTTTCACACATCATTACGCAAGCAAGCACGTACGGTACATGTAATAAAAAAATTCTACAAGTGTGTTGGGCAACCATTTCCTTTCAAGATCCGTTTAAAACTTTAAAACAATTAGGTACATACGTGCCTTTACGGCTTTCACAATTATGTTTACCATAACCTAATGCATACACTTTTCATAAAATTTATTCGTGTCACGAATACTTGCAAGATTGCTAATATCAAATATTTTCCCATAATAAAGAATTGCCATCTTTAACGTCAAGTGTAAATACATAAACTCTGAATTTATAATATAAATCCTTAAATATAGACTACTGTATATCGCAAGAAAAAAGTCAAATTTTGTGATTTATATTTTATACAACTGTTTTTTCTACAGAATCCATCTCTTCTATGTCTCCTGTTTCTTCCACCTCCTCTATTTCTGTTTCTTCGGCCATTTCTTTTTCCGTAGCACTTAGCGCTAGTCAAAAAAAATTAATATTAGGTGAATGCGCTATTTATTATAATCAAAAAAATTTTACTAATCCGAACAATGCTCACCTGACTTACGCATTTCGTCTAATTCTCTAC